GGGAACCAGCCCCAGGGAGTCGGGGGGAAGTGTGCCAGCCCGCGCACAGGCCCCAGCCGGTCTGCCCCGGGCCTCCTCCCCAGCCGGTGGCCGGGCTGTCTGCAGGCCACGTACCACCACGGCGGAGTTCCTGCGGGACGCGGTGGGCGTGCTCGGGAGGGAGTTGAGCGAGGAGCTGGCGTTGAACTCCTCCGAGCTGAGGTTGTCTGAGGCATCGCTGAGCCCACTGCTGATGGAGCTGCTCTCGTCCCAGCTGCCGGCAGGAGGGGAAGGTGAGCGGTTAGAACAGAAGCCAAGCAGGAAATAAACTTCTCTTAATGATGGAAGAATGGCTGGATTCCCAGGAAAAAGCAGCCAAAAGGAGAAAGCGTGGGGGTCAGTCCTGGTGCGATGTGAACGGCCTGGTAATTTGGTGAGGTTCTTTCATAAGAGGAAAGGATTAGCTTTATCTGGCCAAGGATGGTGTTCTGTCTCCTACAGGGAGGTATGTTCACAGACAAGGTAATTCTGGGGTCAAACTAACTGCACAGACGACTCCCTCTCTCTGCAGTGGCCTCCATTCTCGTAACCACCACACCTGTGCTCGTGTTCAGGTGCGTCTTCTAGATACTTCTCCTCCCTTTTCTAAATTTTCCATGCCTGGTGACTCGGCCAGAGAAAGGCCGATCTTTCCAGAGCCCCCACGCCTGTCACTTCTCGCTGCGCTTGCCCGCGGTTCTCCCCGGCCCAGACCAGGTCCGGCTGCTAAACAGCACGTCCTGAAGGTGCCGAGGCCAGGCAGAGGTGCCAGGTTTGCATGGCATGGTTTCGCTCTCCTGCCAGTTGCTCGGAATATCAGATCCGTGGTGTGGGGAGAGACTGTGTCAAACATCTGTGTCTGCACGACTTCATGGCAAGAACCCCAGTCCACGTCGCCAGCGGGCTATTCGAATACCACCCGTCACTCCCCAAAACCCTCTCGTCGGTTTCTGCGTTTGACAAGTTTCGCCGTCAGAAAGCTTTTACTCTCCGCATCTGAATGACGCCTCCTCCCCAGGTGCACCCGTCTCCCTCTGTGCTGGCCTCGCTGGCTATCAGTTTCTTTTCCCCCACTTTAAAAAAAAAATTGGAGTACAATTGAGTTACAACACTGTGTTAGTTTCTGGTGTACAGCACAGTGATTCAGTGCTGCCCGTCTATTCCTTTCCACATGCTTTTTCGTTATAGGTTGTTACAAAAGTTGAATATAGCTCCCTGTGCTGTACAGTGGGACCCGGGTGTTTATTTTATATACAGTACTTGGTTTCTACTAATCCCAAACTCCTAATTTGTCCTTCCCCCACCCCAGTGAGTCAGACAAATCTCATATGATACCACTTACACGTGGAATCTAAAAAATGGCACAAACGAGCTTGTTTACGAAGCAGAAACAGACTCACAGACAAGAGAACAAGCTTGCGGTGAACAGGTTTCCCTCTGGTCACACGTTATTTCTAAGCTCAGACTCTGTGCCCTCTGACCTTCCTTCAAAGGTCCTGTTCCTCAAGTCTGGCCCCATTTCTGCTTCTTCCTTCTGGAACCTAAGAAGGTCCTCAGCCTCCACTCAAGCGCTAGGGCGGGGCCTCCAAGGCCCCACATCTGCGATCGCAGTGGGTTTGCCAGCTCTGCGTGTGTCCGAGGACTCGGATGCTTTCTGTGAATCAGCTGGTGTCTGGAAACTTTCCCTTTGGATTTATTCTGAGTTCCATACGATGGAACAAAAAGCAGACGCGCAAGTCGTCTCCGTGCTTGGCCTGGACTTCAGCCGGCCTCCCTCTGATTTACTTGCTGGGAATAGGAAAGTGGGTGGTTTGGCCGTTCGGCTTGTTGCTCTGCGGGGATTAATCCAAATACACTGAGAAAGAGCAAAGAAAGCGCAGGGATCACAACACACGGCAGGGAGATCTCGATTTTACTGCTGTGAATACAGCCGTTATTGACTGACAGTCCACCTCTCCCCCAGCCAGCGACGTCTACTAAATCTCACGTCTGTCGACGGCTAAAATACCGCCTCTCCCCGCGCCCCCACCCCGACACTGTAGAGAAAGACTGCTGACGGGGAAGGATCGATCGGGTTTTACGGTGCTATCGGCTCTCCTGGGTCAAGGTAAGAGGAACAGCTGGCTTTTAGGGCAACGGCAGAAGACGCCTGACCTTCCGCGGAACCGTCCACCTGAGATTAATTCTTGGTAATCAAGCCCTCAGAGCAGAGGACGCTCTGTCTGCAGGGCCCTTGCAAAAAGAGGACGGTCGTCCACCGACCCCAAGGAAACCCTCCCTCTGTCCTGCGCTTTACGGAAACCCCTGCAGTGGGGAGGGGAGTTTCTCTTCTCAGAAAGAGCGCGGTTCCTCCCAAGTCACAGGCTCTTCCTGGAGCAACAGGGTAGAGCACTACAGCCACTGGGCAAGGCTGGCTGGAAGATTAAAGCTTTCCCAGTGAAGTTCCTTTGCAGGTTCTGAATAAAAGGAAAATTCTGTCGTCATGACTTCAGGGTGAAGCGTCTCCATTGGAGAGAGCATATTTTCTTTCTTTAAAAAAAAAATTATAAGTAACACATGCTGTAGTCAGGACTCAGACTACAGGAAAACGCCGCCTTTCTGCCCTCCCGCTGCGGCGTCCAGGCACCCGGGTCAGGAGTTTGCTGTGCCTCCTTCAGAGCAGCCGGCCTGGCTCCCGGCTGTCCGCTGTCCGGTCTGTGGGCCACCCCGGGCTCTTCGCCTGCCTGCGGGGCTGGAACCTCGGCCCTCCTCTTTGCTCTTGTCCTCTCTCGTTTTCGAGAAGCGCCTCTCCTAGGAGGTTCCTGGAAAAAGGTGCTTGGGGAGCAAACTTCACAAGCTCTGACTTACTAGGTAAGACGTCTTCATCTTCTTCTACACACGCGGTCTTGGCCAGGCGGGGAACCGTCAGCTGAAGCCAGCGGCCCTTCAGGAGGTAACGGCTCCAGCGCGCACCGCTGCTGGTCTGACTCCCGGTCCTCAGGAAGGGACCTGTGTCTCTCTTTCTCCCTGGGACCTTCAGCACGCTCCCTGGTGTTGGGAACCTCCCTGAGGATGGGCTTGGTGTGGGCCGTTTTCACCCACTGAGTGGACACCTTCCTGGGCGCTTTCAGCCAGGCGCTCGGGCCCTCAGCTCTGGGAAGTTTCTCTAGTCATTTCTTCGATGATTTTCTCTGCCCCATTTTACAGTTCTCTCTCTTGGGAGATTCTGCAGCCAGCACACTGATTCCGTCTTATTTTCCAGCCATACACACACACACACATACATACGTGTGTCTATTTTAATTTAACTGCTTTTTGGGCAGCAGCCTCACTTTCGCCCTCCACCGCCTCCGTACGGCGTTCGTTCCTGCTACCATTTTTAATTTCCAAGGGCACTTTGAGGCCCCTGTGTCGTTCTTTCCTCCAGGGACGCAGTCTCTCTCCCTAACTCTTCAGGGCCCACGATCTCTGCCCGGCGTCCGGCTCCAGGGTGCTTGTTTCCATTCCTGTCGGCGAGACCTCCAGGTTGCAGACTCCCGAGACCTCCGACGACCCGCGGCTGTTGGCTCGCACGTAAGACTGGGACCGGCCTCCCGCTGCACCTTGTGCGGAAGCTCTGTGTACGTAGGTGGGACGTGGCAACAATGGCTTCAGTACAGACGAGATGAGAAACTAAAGTTTCTCCTCTGGGGCTGCTCAGAATTCCTAGTGATGGATCTTCCAAACTCCCCCCTGGAGGAAGTAAGACCAACGTTCTAAGAGCGGAGACAGGGAAGGGCCAGGGGTCTCAACGGTCAGCACGTAAAGCCTCCCTTAACACTAGTTCAGGATCCGCGCCCCACCGGGCCTCGGCCCACGCGTTCAGACCCCCGTTCTGCCCCGCCCGGAGCCTCGTCTCCTGCGGCCGAGAGGGAGGGGCCGCTGCCTTCCAGGAGCCGTGGGGGAGGGCAGCTGCGTGTCCGCGTGTTTCTCATGTAACTTTCCACCCAGTCCTCCGGTCTCTAGTCTCCCCTCCTCCCCCACGAAAGACATCTGATGTCACCGACCGCCCGGCGTCCTGAGGGCTGGGATACAAACAGGGCTGCCGCCGCCTCGCCTGCAAACAGGCTGAGGGCTCAGCTCCAGGCCAGCGGATCCAGCCACACCTGCCCTCCTGATTTCCAGCTTCCCCGAGTTGTGTGGCGGCTGCCTCTCCCCTCTCCTAGTCTCTGTCCTTGTGGTTTTGTGATTTGAAAAAACCCCAAACCCTTTACTGCCATTTTACCCTTGGGGCAGTTGTGAGCTGTTCTTGACTAATTTTTTTGCAGCGGCAAAACGCCCCTGCACGGCACTTCGCAGAGCTGCTCCTTTGGCCTGGACGTTCTGGCGGGCAGACTGAGTCGCGTGAGGAAAGGAGACGCTGACCTTGGAGTTTCACCAAATCGGGACGCGGCAGAGGGAACCGTGCGGATGACGATGTTTTGCAGAATCAAGAGCTGGGAGAAGAGCGCTGTTGGGCCCGCCCTTCCGACACGGGACTGCTGCGGGTGTGAGAATGGGGCTCCGGGGGAGCCTGTGGGATCTGTCCGCTGGGGAGTCAGAGGGCCGCAGGCGCCGCGGGACCTCACGGGCGGGGGCGGGAAAGGCAGCTTCGACCCTGCGGCGCCACAGGAAGGGGGACAGCAGGCCGGGCTCGGGGCACCGGGGCCCCCTTCTGTCTGGGACTGAGAGTCTCCGCTTGCTCCGGGCTGGGCTGTGCCGTCTCCCTCTGCCGCTCCGTGCAGGTGCCTCTCGCCCGGGCCTCAGGTGGGAGAGGGCGGGCGCTGGCAAGCCGGGGCTAGAGGCACCGGACATGAGGAAGACAGGCCGCAGGGGGCTGCCCGTGCCCGGTTCTGCGTCCAATGACCTCGCTGGCGGCGACCGGTGTGAGAGAAGTGGTCCCTCGCGCAGGTCTGCGTCGCTTTACGCCGTCCGCTTCGAACGGCGTGGGACAGTTGTTACAAGGACGGTGACACTTCCTCACCCTCGCCCACCCTTGGAACAGAATGGGAAAGAGGTCTGAACTAGCAGCCTCACGAGGCACCACGCACACGCACGGGACGACAAAAGGGCTCCTGCCCCGGCGACCCGAAGGCCCTGAGCGGGCCGCGAGCCACAGCAGACTTCCCGGCAGGGTCTCGTCTCCCCTCTTGCAGCCGCCTCGTACCCCTCAGCCCTCCCTCCAAACCCTAAACTCCTCGGTTCCCGTTTCCACGAGAAGTATTCTGGGCTTTCCTG